TTTGTCTATTATGCCATGACATGTAAATGGTAACCATAAAAATAAAAATGTCATTACATTGTATTCACATCTGGGTGGTGCGTTAACATGTGACTTTTCAGAGCCACTTTCTGAATTGCACGATAGGAACAATGGGCACAGGCATAGGGCTTCTCTCCAGTATGTGTGCGCATGTGGTTCCTCAAATTTGTTGGATAAATTGTATCATATGGGCAGGCAGGGCACTTGTACATCTTCCTATGGATGACCACACCTGGCTTGACCCCTGTGCTCTTCGTATCTGTCTCTTCACGTCCTCTGCCCTGCACCACCTGTAGAGGATGCTTATTTCATTGTCATATCATACAGGCTTATGAACTCTTCATGTGTACCTCTACTGTCATTAGAAGGATCTTTACACTGCTCATAAAAATATTGACACTAAGAGGATACCACCTACAGGTATTCACTGTAAATGTGGCATTTTAGCTTTTAACCCCTATAAACAGCATTCTCCAGATTGTCTTTCCCCCAATTACAAAGAAAGGTATGATTTTTCAGGTTTTACAAGGGCAAATTTATATTTCAAGAGGTAGCTTTGTGATATGTAATAGTTGTGTGCATAGAAGGGCATTATGTGAAGAGGAAAAGATTTAGGGTTTGGCTGGATGATATATGCCATAGGGCACCAGAATACTTTACACTCACTATGTTTCTTTCACAATTAGATATTTGGTGGGAAAATACAACTGTACGATTGGTTCAGGCAGAAGAAAGCCTACAAGGAATGGAAGGTGATATGTCTTATTCATAAAGAAAAATTTGTTGGGTAAAATCCAGAAGCTTCTGACAGGTCTTCTATCGTGATGTATTGGATTGTGCATAATTGCAAGCCATAATCATGGCAAAATGCACCATTCATAAAAGGTACCTGATGCTATAAACATTTACTTCCCAGATACCACCTATATAAACCATTTAAGTGTCTGTAGTACTGAAAAATAATGAAAAAAGTTTAAAAACTGAAAAAAATTAGAGAGAAAAAAAACTGCTTGATGATATGGTAACATTTTCCTAAAAAATATTTATATATCTCAATTTTAAAAGGTTTTACGTTCATATTTCCCCCCAGTCGTGCCTCTTCGCTTATAGCCTTATTCCATATATGTGTTTATTTCACATCAATACACACAGTATTGATAGAATATACATGAACATTATTTCAGTTTGGCTGATGATATGATCTTTCAGGAACTTTGTCCAATATTAACATAGTTGCCAGGCAGTCCCAGCGGCTCAATATTGCTTCATTAGCTCTGCTTGCTTGGGGATCTATATGTGACACACTTGCTTTTTGTAATCACTAAAGTCTCCCATAAACCATGCCAAAACGGAAAAGATCTACAATACAAATGATAAAATGTGTAAACATGCATATAAGGCTTTATAGAGAGAGAGAGAGAAAGAAAAAAAAAAGTGTAGAAAAAGAAAATGAGGAGTCAGGTAAAGAGAGAGAAGAGGTGTCAGGCATCGAGCGACCTCCCACATCCATCGCTTCCCACGCATCCACTTCCCCCATGCCACCCGCAGCATGTGCTTCTATGCCTACTTCTGCTGAAAATCCTAAGAAATTCACACTATGAGAGGAAACGGAAGCAGTGTACACTAACAGTGTTATCATGAAAATACAAACTCAAAGAATTAGCAGGGAACATCATTTGTGGCAACTGCTTTACCAACACCATGAAGTATGATTTCACCCAGCATCAGCTCGAAACTACAGTCAATATTTGCTAACACATAAGAATGGCAACAAACCCATTCTAGAATTCTCAGTCGCCCAAGTTGTTGCCAACTACAACTCAGGCTATGAGGCTAGTTGTCTCGACACCAGTCTTGGTGTTCCACGGACTGTTATTTCAAATAAAGTCCTTCAACAACACAATTTAAGAATGAATGTGACTCCAAAAAAGAAAATGAGGAACCATTGACTGCAACAAGAGCTAGCATACGCAGCTGGAGAGTTCTAGCCGGCTGGACCCTGACCACACACCCTCCTGCTCTCAACTGTCAACTTCGAAGGGCCGTATCTCAAAACTAAAGATATCACCATATTTTGTTTATCTGCTTGGTTATTTATTGTCCATTTTTTTTCATTTTGGTCTTGTTTTCTTTGTCCTTATATAGGGTGCTTTTCAATTGGGGGAAAAAAAAAAGAAAGAAAGAAAAAAAAAATCCAAAAGTTTATGGAGATTTATGATTACTTTCTAATGATAGTATCAAAAAAATATATTTTGTTACTATTTTTGATGATCTTTTTCATGGGTTGTTCAAATATGATAAAGCTTTTTTCTAAATGGATCGATAGATAATTTCATTGGCTTTCAGATGGGAATTATCAAATTAGTAAATCATGAGTATTAAGTGATCCTATTAAGATACAATGGTACCATGTATTTTCAAGATCATATTTATTTTCTTTTTTCTATTACAGATATCAGTTTGATATACTGGGACATCAAAGATAGATTTAACCCAGTAACCCAGAAGAAGAAGAAGAAGAAGAAGAAGAAGAAGAAGAAGAAGAAGAAGAAGAAGAAGAAGAAGAAGAAGAAGAAGAAAAGAAGAAGAAGAAGAAGAAGAAGAAGAAGAAGAAGAAGAAGAAGAAGAAGAAGAAGAAGAAGAAGAAGAAGAAGAAGAAGAAGAAGAAGAAGAAGAAGAAGAAGAAGAAGAAAAATGCCAGGCGTCCCGCCAGTGTGATGCTGTATCGGGGCTCACGCTCCGATGCAGCAGCGGGCCAAAGCCAGTGCGCCGGCAGAGTCTAGGCCAGCCCTGCACACTGATTTTGTAACTGCCCAGAATCTTTTATTTTTGGCTTCAAAATATACCAGCGGTAATGGGTTAAGGAGAATTTTCCATAAAATTCTCAAATCTCTAACTAAAGGTAAAATAAGCATCAGTTTTACCCTGCAAGTTGGTAAGCCATGAAACATTATTAGGTTAACACTTTTTAACATGCATGTTTTTTTTTTTTTTTTTTTTTTTTTTTCAAAACTAAAATGGTATCAAGGCATCAGTAATGACAAAATTTAGAGGAATGTTAAAATTAAATGAATTATAATGACTTGCCTACTAATCTTTTCCTTTTCATTTACATAACTTAAATCTGCAGTCCTTGATACAGTTGTACACTGAGCTCAATGCACCTAGTACACTTTAAATTAGGAGAGAAATGTACAAAAAATAAACAGCAAGAAATTAATTTTTCACTTTATTTGCAATGAAAAATATTGCATCTAATTAACGGAAATTCATGATACAAACATAAAAAAAAATAATACATCACTTTTACTGAAAAAGGAATAACATTTTTTGTTTTCCAAAGCTGGTAATTTGAAAAATAAGTAACAGCAAGAACTTACTCTGCATAATTATTAAAAATAATATATCAATTGAACATTCACAAGAAAAAGCTCCACTTAAAACCACTTGTCAAGCAGAAGTTCCTGTTATACATAAGACTCAGACCTGTGACATCATCCTCTCCGCAATCACACCAATAAATATTTTCAAGTGGCACAGTTTCCTTAACCTTACACTGATGGTACCAGAAGTTTCTGTGTGGCACACATTCCGGTGACTACTGGCAACCGTCTAGCCTTATTGGCAAGGCGTTCACTGTGGACAAGGGGCCCTTCCTGCTTGCTCACTTGAGCGAGTCATGGTACGTAAACGTTCACGTACACACACAAATACGTACATATACAACACACACAAACACACGCTTGTCATGAAGGATATGCTTTCAATGACTGCTATAGCCATGCCTACCAGCAGGGTGTTAATACAGAAAGTGGATACAAATGCTGTAAACAAAAGAATTCTATTCTGATAAATTTACATAACATATGTAAGTGCGATTCTCTTACTAATATTGTATCCTTCAAGAGAAATAAATGCAGACATTTTATGAAGTGGGATTTTTCATCTAAACTAAATGCTAATACTAGACCAAGTATCCCTGCAGTTGGTTGTGTTGTTGTATCCCTTCACTTCATCTAGAATTACCGAAGATTAGTGAGAAAGAGTGAAAAAAAAAAAGACAGGTAGGCAGTGAAACAGACAGACAAAAGATGGAGTGAAACAAGAGAGAGGACAGAGTGAGACAAAGACAAAACAGAAAGAGACAGAGTGGACAGACCGATATGCAGAGGAGACAGAAAGATATAGAGGGGTCAAAGATAGAGAAAGGACAGTGTATGTTTCTAAACTTTCTGTATGTGTGTGCATGCTTGCATTGTTTACATGGAGTGTGAAGTCTGCAAGACCAATCACTGGCCAATAATAACAGAAAGGAAAAGAAAAAGAGAAGAAAAGACAATAACAAATAGTAAAAAAAAAAAAAAGATAATGATAATGATAATGACAATGATAAGAGATAATGATGATGAAGTTAATAAAAGACAGAAAATAATATCAACAACAATAATAACAATACTAATTAAGAAAAAGAAGTATAATAAAAACAGCAATAATAATAACAATTCAAAAAAATATATATCAATAGTAATTAATAAAAAGGATGATGATAATAAAAATAATAATAATAATAATAACAATAACAATCAAAAATAATAATGACACTACTACTACTAATAATATAAATAATGATAATAGTAAAAGTAATAATAATAATACTGATAATAGTAAAAGTAATAATAATAATGATTGATGATGATGATGATGATGATAATAATACTTATGATAACAATACAGCTAATAATAATAATGATGATGATGATAATAAGAATGTTAACAATAATAATAATAACAACATTATTAGGAATAAAGATCTTGTTTTCCAATTCATATGTAGATCCACACTTTGAAAATGTTTATTGTAATGTGCTTCATGATACAAGCAGCAGATAAATAAATATTGATAAATAATATATAATATATATATATATATATATATATATATATATATATATATATATATATATATATAAAATCATCTATATAAATTTGAAAAACTTATATTTTTCACACTTTGTGTAATGCAGAATTCAAACCTACTGCTTTAACTTGATAATCTATACAAGTTTAAAAACCTTCATGCTTTTGATAAGTTGAATTGCTTAAAAAGACATTACCTTATAAATTATCAAAGAATCAACCAAAATGGCCAGCAGCATTCAGCATATCTCAGCTGGCTTCCCAAAGAATAATCAAAATGAATGATACTGTATAAAGTGCTTACTCGCTCAACAAGTTAACTGAAAAGTTGTTCCATAATTTGCAATATATATGGAAAGTACAGACTTCTTTATCTTGAATTCTTACAGAAGTTATTTTTTTCCTTGCTCTCTTTATGTTGACTGTGTTGGCTTCTCTGTGGCTCCATATACATCTAGCACCATTGTGGATGATGAGTTACCATGTGGTTCATGATGGCACTCTTGTCTATACACTTGAATGGACACATGGCACACTCAAAGGAACTCTCTCTTGTATGACCACGAATATGTCTCTTCAGGTTGTCCTTTGTTATGGCTGAGTAAGGACAGTATGGGCACGAAAATGGCTTTTCGCCTGTGTGTGTGCGCATGTGGTTTCTTAAGTTTGTGGCTACATTTGTACTGTATGGACAGTGGAGGCACATATGCTTCTTAGTGACAGTACTGTGGTCATTCTCAGCTCCAGGTGCACCTCCTCCGCCACTCATCCTACGGGATGTGTCCAGCCCTACCTGTAGGGGACACCCATCTTACTCACAGAGAGAAATCTTTATAACAGATGTGTAAATTACAAAAGCAAACACACACACACATGCACACATTAACAAACACATTACACAATCTATACTTAATATACATTTTCACTATGGAATATAACTGAAAACATGCTTCCCATACGTAATCTATGCAAAAGTTTCATGTTTAACATATAACTTCTAATCTAATAAAGTATTTAAAGTCCTGATTGCTGGACCAATAAATTTTCTTTAATTTGACAGTGAATCATGGTCACCCTATGTCCATCAACACCAAATGAATAAACCCATATGCCAACAAACTATTACTTTTAGTTTCTTATGTTTAAGCACTAAGGGCTGCCTTTATTACATCTCTTCAATTCTCTTAAGAACTCTTAAAATGTCACTCCTCTTTCAAATTAAACAGACAACACCCTTTGTAAATTCAACAATAAAAACAAAAAAGCTGACTAATAACTGCTGCTGATGAAATGTAACTTTCAATAATTTACGTCTGCTGTTAAGTTTGTAGGCAACTGAATTTACTGGGTTCTATAAAGTTTTACTCTTTGGTTTTGCACTATAATAATTTATATATGATATTTTCAATTCAGCCTAATTTTGAATAATAAAGTAGATATTCCTTAATACATTGAATGATATATATCATAAATATATCAGCAAAAAGGTTTAAAACAGAAACAAGATATGATGCACCAATTATTATCTTTCAAGCAATGAAATCCAGAGTTCAATAAATCATGCACACATGTGATCACAGTCTGTTATGGTTTCAATACCATGCACCAGAGGAGGGGAAGAGAGAAGTTGACAGATGGAAAAAATAACAAAGGAAACACAAATGATAGAAACTGGAAAAATAAGGAGAAGGAATTGGCAAATTGACAAAAGGGAGATATAAAGACAAAGGGGAAGAAGGTAAAATAATAATAACAAGGGTGTAAGAAGGGAGAGGAAGGACAGGATGAGGGTTGAAACGAGGAACAGGAGGGGGAGAGAAAGAAAGTAAGAAAGAGAGAGGGAGAGGGGAAAGGGGATAGGGAAAGTAAACAGGTGGGGGTGGGTGGAGGAGAGAGTGGTGTGGGGGTGGAGGAAGAGTGGAGGGGAGGAGGAGAAGAGAGAGTGAGGGAGGGAGGGAGAGAGGGAGAGAGGGAGGGGGAGGGGAGGGAGGGGAGGGGAGAGGGAGGGGAGAGGAGAGGAGAGAGAGGAGAGAGAGGAGAAGAGAGAGAGAGAGAGAGAGAGAGAGAGAGAGAGAGAGAGAGAGAGAGAGAGAGAGAGAGAGAGAGAGAGAGGAGAGAGAGAGTGTGGTGTGGAGGAGGAGGCAGAGAGAGGAGAGAGGAGGAGAGAGAGGGAGAGGGAGAGGGAGAGGAGAGGGAGAGAGGAGAGGAGAGGAGAGGAGAGAGAGAGAGAGAGAGAGAGAGAGAGAGAGAGAGAGAGAGAGAGAGAGAGAGAGAGAGAGAGAGAGAAGAGAGAGAGAGAGAGAGAGAGAGAGAGAGAGAGAGAAAGTGAAAAAAGGTTAGGAGAGAAAGAAAGATGTAAGCTATAAAAATAAAGATAGAGACAGAAAGTGAAAACAAAGTAAAGTAAATAACTGCTATTTCCTGTCTGCTAACAATGCTATGCAGCTTCACTTCTCGCTTAATTTTGCTGTCCACTATAGGCTACTTGGACATACCCTTCATAGCCATGATGGCAAATCAGAGCAGAATAATGACTTGACAAAATTCCTTGACATTACTCTAGCATCAGCATCAAGAACAGCAGCATCTTTAATTTGAATTATTGTGTGAGCATGGAGGGACAAGAAAAGAATGCTCTGTCTATGGGGTCATGAAAGCTAAAGTGAGCAGCCTTCCTTGTGGAGTAGCCACAGTAGGGACATTGGTGCATCCTATGGCTGGCAATGGAGACGCAACCCGCGCCTGCACCTCGTCTTCCGCCAGTCCTCAGGTCACCAGTGTGAAGACTCATCTGCCGAGGATGCCCAACTTACTATTGCTCAGCATTACACAATTATACACTCACACAAAAAATATGGTGCTCATAGATACTATACAAATGTGGGAATTGGCAAATGCTAACACTGATTTTTGTGAAATGCGTCAAGCCATTAGTATATACAATATGTAGTAATGACCTATATTTAATCTATACTGTTACTGCAGAACAAAATCTTAATTTCCCTTTAACTGGAGCATGCTATCTTGTGACATATGCTGGTGAACCCTCTTTGTAATATGTGTATCAATCTTTTCTTTGTTCATTATAATTGTACTTCCCGTCAACCCTAAAGTATCCAGATTCACAGAAAGGTAATTCATGTATAATTCTTTAATATCAATTTTTCCAAAAAATATGCTTCTTCTGCAGGAAATGAAACATTAAGTGGCATACATACTTACTTTATTAAATTTTCTATACACTTTACAAATAAATGTAGGACTGTGTAACTATCTTTGCGTTTATATTTGTGTTCATCACAAAAAATAGTGTTGAAAATTAACTTTAATAACCTTCATATTTTTGTACTAGTCATTCTGAACCTTAATTTTTCAGAATACCTAGGCATGTTCTGCTAACAGACTCCTCATTTAGTCATACTGACAGTTGTTGCATGGTGTGCAAGTATGTGGCTTTTGAGTGTTCCTTTCTGGTTTGAGCGGTATGAACAATATGCACAAGCATATGGTCTCTCTCCAGTATGAGTTCGCACATGCCTTTTCAAGGTTGTTCTTGTGGTTGCACTGTATGGACAATGAGGACATGAGTAAGGCTTTTCCCCTGTGTGAGTACGCATATGATTCCTGTAGTTGGTGGTAACGGATGAACTGTAGGCGCAGTATGAACAGTGATATCTCCTGCTCAGGCTGACGCCATTTCTGGGGGCCCTGCTCACGGGTGTGCCGTGACTCTCACTCTCCAGGCCCACCTGCAGGGGATGCCCATTTCACTTATTATGGTCACATTGGATAAAGACAGGTCTGCACTCAATAAGCATTCTTTTAATAACCTTTCAATGTAAAAATCCAACAGCCCCTGGCCAAGGTTATGTATACAAATGTATGAATTTTGACATTTACATTTCTAAAATATTCTCCAAAATTCTTGTTTTGAATACTAATCATATAAAATTCTGGTCTATATTTAAAGCTTTTTATTCCCCTGAACATTTTCATCAGATATATGTCTTGAACTTTCTCATGAAAACCATGGGCAATGTAGAAAAAATCTACTCTTATATTCTTTAAAGACTTTTCTTTTCAAAGCTGCACTACAACATATCATGGCTAATAAATATTCCATTCTTCCATGAGAAAAGAAGATCTGAGAAAAGAATAAAAACAAAAAAAGAAAACCAAAAGAAAAGAAGACTTGACCCTATACTGCTCAATGCAGCATACTCAATATACAAGATTCCTCTGTTTGTCAATGGAAAAGAGTATATTTAGTACCCTCTGTGTCAGTGCAGATAAATTCATCTATAGTGCATCCAATCTCTGGAAAGAAAAAAATGACTATTTTCTTCAGATTCTGGAGTTAATATTTTTATTTTTTTCTATCCGGTTTGCTGATTAGTGTGTAAATTTACAAATGGTTAGTATTTTTAAAATCCTTAAAGAGTGTCTTAAATTTTATTCATCATAATTTTCTGTATTCAATACTACTTTATTATTGTTCTCTAATGCTATTCAAACCAGAATGAGTTGCATTTTTTTTTTTCTTCTTTCCCGAGATTGGACAGACTCTCACATCCTCTGTCTGAGGACAACAACTGGAAGCTGACAGGAAGAGTCCCTATCAAATAGCAGTTATAGGTTGTGTGGAGCTTGAAATTTCTTTCCTAATTTTTGCAATATCTTATAACCATTATGATGAATGTTATTATTACAATGATAAAATAATGATTTACAAAAGTTAATGTCCAACATGAATTTGTTATATGATTGCAAAACTGCACAGGAGTAATTGCATAAGAAACAGCTCTGACCCATTAGTCAGGCTGATACAAACCTAAAAATGAGAGCTTTATTTGGTGTGCCCAAATGAAGTATATGTGGTCCATGACGTTAAAAATAAACTACAGGAGTAAGAACACAGGACTGAATAAGTTACAAATCAAAATGTTACTTGAGCCATTACTTATAAATTCACACACATACACACGTACAGACACACAAAAGTTGCCTAACTACATCACGATTACTATCCTGTTACATTTGGGTGAGCTGGCAGGAATAACATGTTGGCAACTTGAGCAAGTAGTAGCCTGGAGTTTAAAGAAATTGGGTGGTTTAGTTATGTCACCCAACCATGCTCATAGGTACTGTCAGCATTGATAATCATTCTCCAGCACACATTTAGAATTATATCCATGAGAGAGAGAGAGAGAGAGAGAGAGAGAGAGAGAGAGAGAGAGAGAGAGAGAGAGAGAGAGAGAGAGAGAGAGAGAGAGAGAGAGAGAGAGAGAGAGAGTCTTAAACTCTTTCTTTCCCTTTTTTCTTCTTTAGTGTTCAATAAGATAGTATCATGAATGATCCTAAAAAGACTTATTTGCACTTTTCTCTGGAATCTATTATCTCATTCATCTTTTACCTATGATGAACAATTTGCAATAAATAAGAAACCTTTACCTAAACAGAGAAGTGTTTCAAAGATAAAATGAAACATCCACAATAATGAGGGAAGCATAAAGCCTTGACTTAGAAAAAATGAAATGTCACAGTAAGTGTTTCTCATATAATTGTGGGTGTTTCGTTAACCCACATACAACAGGTGTCACACATATGAGACACCTGGAAAAATAAACATCACTGGGCGTCCTGCCGGTGCAGAACAGAGAGCTGCACTCTGATTTTGTCATGGGTGGGGCGTGGGCAGGTTCCCAGACTCAACCATGCACTGCTTTTAAAGCTGCCCAGAAAACATTATTTTTGGCTTGAAAATGTACCGTCACTAGTGGGTTAAGTACTAAGGTGGAATTAACATGATATACTTTCAAAAAGTTAACTCAACTTGTGTTTGAAAAAAAATTGCAATAAAAAACTTGAGCATATAGAAGTCCCATGCCATGATAATGAAATATTGCATTTAGAACAAATTTATTATTAATCCTTTAAATGTGGATGGCATATCTTGTTATGGCTGCGGTGGAAAATGTTGTGCATGGCACCACTTAACGTCATATCATATGCCATAAGACGGAGCTAATTTTTCTCCATTACCGTGGTGTTACAATTAGATAATGGCATCTGAAGTGCGAGAAAACTTTCAATTTTTTTTAAGCACTTGGTCATAAACTCCACTTAAAAGTCATTAGGTGCCCAATATTGAGTTTGAAATACTGAACAAACTTGGTGTAATCAAGGAAACTGCTGATACTCATCAACAACTGGCCAGGTGCCAGTTTTTAGTATTGCATTCATTAGGTTAAGAGGTATGTCCCTTACTAACAAATTAGATGGACTTTGTCTTATTATGTTCAAAAGTTAATTCCTTTCTTGATGGTGGATAAAAAGGAATTAAATTACATCTATTTAAATCAATAAAGTAAACATAAATATATTCATTTAACAAAGAAAACACCTGACAAGAACATATAATGTTTATTCTCTAATTATCAAAACCAGAAATCCAGACTTGATACATACTTCAAAAGACAAACAATACACCAAATATTTCTTTCCTCTACCTCTCCTGACTCAAAAAATAAATATATTTCCTTTCTTAAGAGCAAAATCTACTTGCTATTATTTGAGAACAAGGGATCCTTATTGAATGTGTGCTTTGTCAGAACATGACTTTTTAAAGAACCCCACTGAGTGCAGCGGTATGGACAATGAATACATGAGTATGGTTTTTCCCCCGTATGAACTAGGACATGTCTCTTCAGTGTCTCTTTAGTACTGGCACGGTAAGGGCAATGGGGACAAGAAAAGGGTTTCTCCCCTGTGTGAATGCGCATGTGATTATCTAGATTGAATTTCTTTGTGGTGGAATATGCACAGTAGGGACACTGATGCACCTTGTTTGTGGAGCTGTGGGCAATGGTTGGTCCGGTGGCCACTCGCCTCCCAAGACCATGATCGTCGCTCTCCAGCCTCATCTGTAAGGGATGCCTGTCTTACTAATATTTACACTTGTAACACTCTCTAAGACCCTAGTGCTTTTAAAACCTTTAATGTTAGCATTTGCCACAAAATACTGTCCATTATGAATAAAGAAATTGAATGGAACTGGATATGCCTAAGGAATAAGAAAATTTCACCTTTTCTCAAGTAAGTCAAAATTCATAAGGCATAAAAGAAAAAATCAATATCAATATATAATAGTATCTAAAAAAAAAAGATGAAGAAAAAAATCTTTTCACTTGTAAATAATAATTAAAACAATATAACTTCAATTTCTGATGTTAAGCTCCATTCCAACCAATTTACTTAGTAAGATATGTCTGCCTCTCTTGGATATTAGTTCAACTTTTATTTTAAAATTTGATTCTTCTGCCACAAGAAAATTATACTGCCTTAACATAATAATGCCATCTGTCAGCTTTGGATAAAACTGGTTCTTCAATATAACATTACTCATATTTTCCTTTTTTGTAATTGATCTTTCAACTTCATTCAACAGCGAATTTCTAGTAGGTTAAGTCTAAACCTATTCAGTGCCCTACTTTTGTTATGGTTGCCAAAACAATAACTATCTTCAACAACATTTATTAAGATCACTGAAACTCAAGAATTGATACATGTTTTGCTTCCAACATTCTAAAGCAAGGGAAGGTTTAGTACATGCTGATACTTGGCAGAATATAATAAAATACAAGTTGACTTGGTTTGGTATAGCAGTAAGCACAGTACAATAGTGACATCCTTAATCCTATAAATGTGTTACACATATTTCAAAAAAGTGCTACCTAAAAATATTCTCAGTGATATTCAGCGCTCTTTTAGTTTATAATTTCTTTAGATGTTTTTGAGCAATAAATCTACTCTACTCCATATCACTGATATGACTCATTAATGGTGTTTCTCAAAATCAAGACTACCAAAAAAGTTACAAGACAACTTTTACTTATTCTTTGAAAAGAATACATTCCTACCACAGACTATAGCTCTTGTTATAAAACACTTTCATTTAACAGTCTTTAGCTATCACAATATAAGATGGGTGGCAGTACTTCATATAGGGGATGTGCTTTGAACAGTCTATGTACACTGAAGCCAAAAAGGACTTTTAACATTATCAAGAGCATTCAAGTAAATCATAATAAAAAATTATATATGCCACCACACAATATAAACTTCAAATATTTTTCACATACATGAACTTCATCTTATACAGTTCATATCATTTGGAGAAAAAGTTGTGTTTGGAAGATTTAGCAATATTTCTTATATAAAAAAGCTCTCCAACCACTGTTATAAACTGGAAAAAAAAGAAAACTTCACAACTACATATATATATATATATATTCCACAGATATACAAAGAAGCTATAAATCAATTTTCACAACCAAAAAATAACAAATTAAAATCTGTATTACGTATTGCATTTTACAAGTCATATTTTTCAATATGTCCTTACCATGAATATACAAATGCATAAATAGGTTACCCAGGTACTACAATAAACCAGCTCACTCGAAGTGGTAAACTTTAGCTATCAAAAGAGTTATATGCGCAGGACAACAAATCAGTGACAATAACAAACATGAACAAAAGCCAATAACTACATTTGAATGTGCATCACCTTCAGTTTTATCCTCATTATCATTACTATCATAAAAAAGAAAGAAAAAAAGAAAAAATAGCCTCACTGAACACATGTGAACAATTACTATCACGGTTGCAATTACATGCAAATTTAAATTTAAAAGTAAATACAATGAGAGGGAGGCTTGAAAGGAGACAAAAGGAATGCAAAAGAGAAGAAATAGAATATAAGCAAGGAAAAATTATATAAAAAAAAAAAAAGTTTGCAAAAATGAAATTTACAATCCCTCAAACCAAAGCTGTTTACAGCAACATGTATTAAAGCAGTACCTACAAATGAAAATAACAAAATAAACTTTCAAAAAGCGGGATAACTCATACACAGAAAACAAGTCACATTCATGTAGAAGTATAATCATATATACTATGTACAAAGCTATGTACTTTAGCTTTATTCTAAAACAACAAACAAAAAACAAACAAAAATAATAAAAACAATAATAAATAAAGCATAAGCAACAGTTTACTAACCAATGAGAGTTAGAACTAAAAAGTCCAGCAATAATCTTTGTAATGTATCCTTCAACAGGATAAAAAATATAAACATGATTTGATCCTCTGCTTGTAAAGCATCAACAGAAGACCTGAGTTTACAATCCACAATCAACAAGGTACCAACCACAATCAACGAAGTACATTCTGCTGAAGACACTGTCAGTCTTGAAGAGAAGGGGACATATGACTGCTTATCTACTAAAAATCATTTGGGTTTTGATTCTATAACCAATCACTAATGAAATGACTAGCCTTTTATACTCCAACTCTTTTGCAGAGACAATTGTGAATGCAAAACCAGCTAGTATTGAAACCAACTTACACTAATTTCTTTGAGATTCCTCTCTTCTGTAAGACACACCGTACAATATTTTGTAAGAAATGTGATAGCATTACACTTGCACTTGTCTATAATTATCTTTAATGCTTATTTCCATCCCGCTTTCACTCTGTCCACCTCCCTGCCATTTATGATCTTGATAGACACTACAAAAGACAAGGTACAGCCTTCTGTACACTAAAACTGTCTTCTGCTTTTTTTTATAACCAAATCATGCCAATTACTGCAAACAGTTTGGAAAACTACACTAAAACTAATGATGGTGCTTCTGTCAGTATCTAACCAAGAAAAAGTACTGATAAATAGAGAAAAAAAAAAAAAAAAAAAAAAAAAAAAAAAAAAAATCTGGCAAGATAGCACTGCCAGTACTTGTTTAGCATTGCAATCCTACACTAGACACAAGGTCATGGAGCCTGTGTCCTTGTGAATGCAGCAATAACTTCTATGCTTAAATCTATATGGGGAGGTCAATCTGAAAGTCTAAAAGTACTATCAACACTTTCCAGCTCTGTTTTGTGTGTGTGTGTGTGTGGTGTGTTGTGTGTGTGTGTGTGTGTGTGTGTGTGTGTGTGTGGTGTGTGGTGTGTGTGTGCATATGAGTGTGTGTGTGTGTGTGTGTGTGTGTGTGTGTGTGT